TAGGATGTCAGTCTCCAGTCCCTCCCAGAGGTCAAACTGAGGTCCCCAAAAGAGTAGAAGCAGGTGTTCACCATACATCACGTTATTAGCCTAACCCTCCTGGCACCGCCCAAGGGCCCAGGTGTACACTCGTACTTGGCAGAATAGTCCAAACGCTGACAGGTTACCTCCCAGGAGACTGCTTTGCATATACAAGATTTAAATACCCTTCACCTGCTGAGTTAGCCCATTTTTACTCACATTTAAGAGTTAGATTTAGAATCCTACTTTTAAATTTTATTTATTCCTGATTCTATAAATATCTATATTAGCTTTTAACCTTAAAAATATAGTGATACTAATACAATATACCTTGCTTTTTTCACTTAAGCTTGTTCCATATCTGAAAAAAAAATTTTTGTTTGATTCTTTTTGATGGCTGAATTTTATTGACCAATTGTCTATTAATAAATGTTTGGGGTTTTTTTTCGTTTTTCAAATGAGATTGAAATGTATAACGTGTATGTATAATTTTACTGATGTTCTAATATACTTGAAAGATATATCTGTATAAGTAAAATTACTGGAGCAACTGGTATGTACGTCTCTAATGCCGATAGATTGTGCCTGTCAAGTACACTTTTCTGTACAGGTTCACCAAGTTTAAGAGTTTCTCTCTAGCAATCTGAAGAGTGCCTGCTTCCCCATGCTCTTGACAGCACAGTGTATTTAAAGACATTTTTATGTCTGTCGATACTATAGGAATAATATCTTTATAGCATTACTTTTATTTCACCCATGATGAGTAAGGTTGAGGATCTCTTCACGTGTTTGAGTTGCTTTTATTCCTTTTCAGTGAACTATTTGTATACATTTTTGTCTAGATTTCCGTGACTTACTGGTCTTTTTACTGATCTGAAGGAGCTTTATTAAAAAATTGGGATATAATTGACATACATTGCATTAATTTTAGGTATACCACATAAAGATTTGATGTATGCTTATATTGCAAAATGAGCACCACAATAAATTTAGTTAACAACCATCACCACAAATAGTTACAAACTTTTTCCTTGTGATGACAACTTTTAAGATCCACTCTGTAAGCAACTTTCAAATGTACAATATTGTCAACTATAGTCGCCATGCTGTAGATTACATTCTCGACTCACTCGTGTTAAAAGTGGCAATTTGTACCTTATGAAAAAGTAGCTTTATACCAGTGTGTGTGTGTGTATACCAGCCATCTGTATGTTTTATGAAATAGAAATATTTTCCTGTGATTTCTGTTACT